GGTGTGAAAAGAGGGCCAGAGCCCCCACCAGCCCCGCAGCATCTGCGGCGAGAGGATGTGGTCGGGCACCGCCAGCCCAGGGCACCGCGTGCCATGTCCCGGGGGCTGCGGCCCATCCTCGAAGGCCCTCAAGGATCAGCAGAAGAGCTTGGAGAGAACGGTATTGACCCCTCCAGCTTGCAGGCTGCTCCTCGAACAACGGCATGGGAACCCACCAACTCCACCCGCCGTGTCCCTCCATCACCAGGGCATTGCCCGCTTGCTGATGGCCCCGAAGCAGCTGGGGGCTGCTGGACGTGTAAAAATAGAAGCAAGACGCAAGCAATGCCACCGGTCCCCAGCCCCAGGTACCTGCCATGGAGGCCACGGACTGCGCGTGTCCGCTCTCCAGGGCGTCCGTGGCCTCCAGCGCTGCCTGCGCTCGGCTGAGCAGGTAATCTGCAACGAATTTAGCTTTGTTAGGGTGACGAGGCTGACGAGTGTCTGAACGAGCACGAGTGCTGACTCCACGAGCCACCATCGAGCGGGAGCCAAGACAGCTCAGGTCCTCGTGGCCCGTGCTGGGGATCAGCACTAAAATCTGAGCAAAATAGAGCTGAGATGAGAGCTGAAAATTCACTCCTGGGAAGTCTGACCCCAGCCTCCTTGGGTGTGATGACTGGTGGGGAGAAATGCCCAGGGGCAGGCTGAGATGCAACATTATCTGTCTTGGAGGGACGAGGGACTGAGGGTCGCAGCCCCCGCGGTGGAGCGGGACGTACCCGGGGAGCTGGTGCAGCGGACGTGGAGCGGGTCGTCCAGCTTGGCCACGGCGTCACGGAGGATGTCCTCCGCCTCCCGCACCGTCTCCTGCAGGACGCCGAACTGCTCGTCCAGCAGCTTCTGCTGCAGGCTCTGCTCCTGGTTGCTCTGCGGGGCGGGAGGAACAGGCGAGTGGCACAGCTGGGACACAGGACCCCCGTCACCACGGCCCCATCACATCCCTCAAGAGCCCCTTTGCAGGATTAGACCTGACCACCCCGTTATCGCTGGTGCAAGCCGTATCCCACCGGCTACATCGACGACGGCTCAGCTGAGCCCCCCAACTGCTCAGCACCCCCCAAACCCACCTCTCCCCGGCGAGCAGAGGGGCAGCGGGCTCCCCACACAGCACCGTACCTTCTCCAGCAGCCTGCCCTGTAGCTCCCGGATCTCCCTCGTGGCCTTGTCCGCCTCCTGGCTCCGCTGCAGCTCCTTCTCCTCGACGAGGCCGCGCGTGGAGAGCAGCTCACACTCCTTCTCGCTCACCGACCGCCTCAGCACCTCCTTCTCGGCGTGCAGGGCCTCCACCTGGGCGCTGAGCTCCGCGCCCGCCTGCCGGTGGGGCCAGGAGACCCCCGTCACTCACCCGTCACCACGTCACGAGCCCATCGCTTACACAGGGGGGAGCTGAGAACACACTCAGCTCATGACACCGATGGGGCAGACCCGTGTTTAGCCCCACGATGGCTCCCTGGGCTGCTGTTTGTGCCGCCGGCTTGGCAGCGGTGGCAGGCACCCTGCCCTGCACGCCGGGGATTTGGGCGCATCCTGAGCCCCCGGCCTCGTACCTGCTTGGCGTGGCTGAGCGAGCGCTGCGCCTGGTCCAGCTCGTCGCGCCGGGCGTCCAGCTCCTGCCGCAGCTGCTCCATCTGCACGCTCTCGTCCTCCAGCTGCCACCGCACGCCCGAACGGGTCCAGCCGCGTTTCGCAAGAGGGGTTTTCAGGGTCTCAGTGGGGTGTCCCGAAATTGCTCCGTTCCCCAGGGCAGGAATTTCAGGAGCAGCCCCCAGCCTGGGCCCCGGTGAACGACAGCACCCAAACCCATCGACTTGCACTGTGGCATTTTCTTGGGGGAAGAAATGGCAGATTTGGGCACGAGGGAATGAAGCACGGATTAAGTAACACCCTCCTGAGGAGCCAGGGCAACGCTCTCCCGGATCAGGGACTGACACCAACCACCGCCCCCGCTCCTTGCACCCAAACCGTGCGCAGCCACGACGTTTCCCGGGCTGGGACGGGCTCGGTGCCAGGCTGGCTCACCTTCAGCTCCGCTTCCCGCTTGACCTGCTCCACCTGAAAGGCCAGCTGCTCCTTGACACGTGCCACCTCCTCCTGGCTCTGCTGCGTGACCGTCAGCTGCTTGGCAGTGTCGGCGTTCTGCGCGGGGACACGGGGACTAATGGGCATCTGGAGCGGGGACCCTCGCCCCCGTCGTGCTCGCTCTGCCCGAATTCTGGCTGCGGGGTGTAGCTCAGAGATGTCTTTTTCACGGCACCCAAAACACTGACCATCGGTGGACATGGATTCAAGGAGCCCCCCACCCGGTGCTCAGAGGTCCGTGAGTGCAGGATGATGGGACCGATACGGGGTGGGGGTGGGCACGCACGACTCACACTGGCGGTGGCAGAGGGACGAAGGAAGCAGAGTTACCTTCCTCAGGAGCTCGGCGTGCGTGTTGATGAGCTCGCTGTGCTTCTCCTTCAGCTTCGTGTAGCGGATCTCGGTGGCGCTGGCTTTCTCTGGACGGGGTGAGAAAGCATCAGCGACTGCGGCGTGGGCGTCCCACGGCTGATGGGTGCTGTAGGGCACCTACTTTCTGCTTCGGCACAGAGCCGCTGGGACCTGTCGCTGTCCTGCTTCGCCCTCTGCAGCCTCTCCAGCTCATCCCGCAGCTGCTCGTTGTCCACCAGCGCCTTCTGCTTCTGCTTGCGCTGCTCCTCCACCTCACCCTCCAGGCTGTTCACCTGCGCCTTGAGCTGCGTGATGTATCGCTGCGCCTGCGGGACACCGGCCGGCACTCTGGCACTGCCCCGCTGCCAGCAGCGCCTCTGCCCTCCCCAGCATCCCCATCCAGGTGCCCAGCTGCGCTTCGGGCAAAGCAGCCATGAGATGCGCAGGAAAGCTCTCCCCTCGGGCCCTGCAGCCACTCCACCCCGCCGCCAGCGGCAGGTTGGACACCAAGGCATGAGTCTGACATGTCCCCACCCCATCTCCATCAGGAATCAGGTCCTGGCACTGGGAGAGGCCCCAAAACGCGGCACTGGGTGCAAGGACCCCACTCCTGTTGCATCCCATTGCGGTTTCCACACTACAGCACCAAAACCCACCCTGCTCTCCTGCACTGGCCGGGCTTTACCTCCAGTTTAATCTTCTCCATCTCCGCACGGAGCATGTCCACCTCCTTCTTCAGGCTCTCGATCTGTGCATCCCTGCGGAGAGAGGCAGGGTGGGCCCCCCCAGCAGCAGCTGCTCCCCCTCTGCCGCCGTGGACCCCCATACCTGTCATCCCGAACGCCGTTGGGTGGCCCAAAGGTTTGCTCAAATATATCCGAGGTGATCTGGGGAGACAGAGGGTGCTGAGCTGACCCAGGCTGTGGGCGCTGTCCCCCCCATCGCAAGGTCCCCATCCCATCCCCGTGCCCCCACCTGCGGCTCTGTGGTGGAAGCCGTGCTGATCTCGATGAGGTTCTCCGGCTCCTCGTCCTCAGGAGCTTCCTCAGGGATGACAACCACCGGCTTCACATGCTCGGCCAGTGCAGACGCCCGCAAGAAGTTTGGGGGGCTCTGCAGGGACAAGAAGTCATGGTGGCATCACCTGGGGTTTCGGGGACCATCGCAGACAGACCACCAAGGGGAGGGAGGGAGCCAACCCCATCCTGCTGAGATGGGCCAGCAGGTCCCTCTGCAGTGTCCCCAGGCCCCGAACCCATCCGTGGGGACGCCCCGGTGCACCCCGAACCCACAAGCTCTCCGAAGCATCACACACGAGCACCACACCGGAACCCTGCCGTACCTCCGGCAGCCGAGGGATCTGGATGAGGCGTTTGAAATACAGCATGTCGGACGCTTTCTTAAAGAAGTTTTTGAGGCTAGAGAGGGGGGAAAGAGAAACCGCTCGCAGGGGAGGCACGGGGAGCTTGGCAGGAGGGAGGAGACCCCACCACCCCAGCTCGGCCCCGGGTTACCTGCGAAACTGCTCGTGGAAACGGTCTCGGTGGCCCTGCAGCGTGTCGGCCGGCAGACCTGCGGTGACGGGGGGGGGAAGCCGTGACGGACCCGGGGCTGGCACAGGGACCAGGGATGCAGTGCAGGGAGAGGCGGGTGTGGGAACCCCGAAATACCCGCACGAGGCCCCTGGCGCCGCGCTGCCCAGCAAGCCCACGCAGGGGGCTGGCAGGCCAAGGCACATCGGTTTGAATTAATCAAGGACAAGTCCTTCTAATTCACACAGAATCACAGAATCCCAGCATGGTAGGGGTGGAAGGGACCTCTGTGGGTCACCCAGCCCAACCCCCTGCACAAGACGGGTCACCCAGAGCAGGCTGCACAGCACCGCGGCCAGGCGGGTCTGGAATATCTCCAGAGAAGGAGACTCCACAACCTCCCTGGGCAGCCTGGGCCAGGGCTCCGTCACCCTCAGAGGGAAGAAGTTCTTCCTCGTGTTCAGCTGGAGCTTCCTCTGCTTCAGTTTGTGCCCATTGCCCCTTGTCCTGTCGCTGGGCACCACTGGAAAGAGTCTGGCCCCGTCCTCCTGACCCGCACCCTGCAGATATTTGTACGCATTTCTAAGGTCCCCTTCCTTCATCTGGGATGTCTACGTGGGATGGAGCAAGTCCTTACAGCCCGGTTGGAATACATGGACATGGCGACGGCTGCATCCCTCCACGCAAGCCCGACTCCCAACCTGGGGAAAGACCAGCGCGGGGCCCGTCCCCGGGACTCACAGGAGTGCAGCTTGAACATCAACTTGACGGCGTAGTGGTAGAGGTGGCTGCAGTCCTGGATGACCTGGATGAGGGGGGCCAGGCGGCATTGCACCGCCGACATCTGCGAGACCGCCATCGAGGTGTTGAGCTGCCTGAAAACTGCAGGGTTGAACGCGGTGAGGCGCCGGCGCCGTGTTTGCTGAGCTGTCCCGCGCCAGGCGACCCAGCTTGATCATTAACCACGACGGACGTGGCTTTGCCAGGACACGGGGTAAAAATGCCGGGGTTGCTGCCCGTCCTGTCCTGCTGAGCCGGGAACAACCCCCACCGAGCAAGAAAAACACCCACAGGGAGCGTGGTGGCAGAGGGACGGGGCGCTCAGCTCTGCCCCCGACATCCCGACCCCAAAAACGATGGGTTTCACCCCAGACAACGCAACGGCAGGACGGCTGCCTGCGGGAGCTGCTGCCGCACAGCGCAGCTGGGGAAGGCGACGGGGTTTCGCTCCGCTCTGTTTTAATTGCTCAGGGAGTTGGGAGAGGGACCCAGGGGCAGGGGACGGACCCACCGGCACCGCAGCCCTGCGTGCCCCGGCTCGGAAACAGATCCCTGCGCTTGGCAGGAATCCAGCCCAGCGTATCCACGCCGGCTTCTTCCCCGCTCAGCTTTCCCGCATTTTTAAAGCCATCTAAAAATTCCTGGAGAAGGAAGCAAGAAAAGCAAACACCGGCAGCGGCCTCCAGCCCTCCCCAGAGGTATTTCAAGGAGAAATGAGTATTTAGGAAGAGGTACAGCCCTATCCCCCGCTTTGGGGGGACAGAAAGGATTTGGGTAACGCGTGTGATTAACATGGCTGCACCACAAAGAAACAAAAACGTGTTTCAGAGCAGCATTGCTCTGAAAACAACGCTCTGCATTGCTCAGGTGGGCTAAAAACAGCCACATTCCTCAAATATTTTCCTACAACCGCCTCTACAGAGTATCAACAGGGGAATCCAGCTGAGAAAAGACCTCAGAAATCTCGGAGGAGGAGGAGGAAGACCTGAGCGTCTGGCCTCAGCCTCCCGAGGCGGAACTCCACTCCCGACCAAAGAGCGAAACTATTGCTCAAGAGCCCCGGGGCGAGCACCAGGGACGTGCAGCCTCCTCACCTGACTCCGACAGCTTCAGCTCGCAGTCCAGGTAGTCGAAGAGCTCGACCGTCAGCTGGAAGCTGCCAGAAAAACCAAAACCCCATCACCCGGCGGCAGAGACATCCTCGCACCGGCAGCTCGCGTTCGCTGCAGGTCCCCGCGCCGGCAAGGGCTCGGATTGACACGAATTTGGTCGTTTTGCTCCCTGCAATTCTGCTCCTCACCGCTCTGCGGGTGCAGGAGGAATCGGGTGCCATCTGACTAATTTATAAACCGCCGATGGCTGCCCTGAAGAGGAGCCGTTTCGTCAGCGGGACGCGGCCAGCCGGGCGGCACGGAGCCAGCGACCACGCACCGGTTGCTTCGCTCCCACCAGGACACTCACATGTTGTTCACGTCCGTCCCCGCGGTCTTTTCCAGCACCTCATCCGGCACTTCGAGGCCTGGGGGGAACTCAGGATGCTTTGGAAAAGGGAAAAAAAAACAAAACAAAAACAAAACAGCAGTTGCTGGTAATATTTTTGCTGATGGGACACAACCCCTGGTGACGCCCCGTACCCTGGCACTGGAGGGTGCGGAGGCGGCAGAGCCTCTCACCTTGGCGTGGAAGGAGATCTTGGTGAGGAGCAGCCGCGTGTAGATGCTCACCAGCTGCCCGTACCTGTCGTGCAAATGGCCCTGCCGGAGACACGAGGGGAAACGTGGTGAATCTGCCGGGGAACCCACGCCAGCCCCACGGCTCTCGCCCTCCACTGCGTAACATCACCCCGCGCGGTCAGAGGCGACGGGTTATTTCAGGTGGTGCTTTGCCCTCCCCGTGCCCGCGATGCTTTCAGCGCCCGCTCCAAAACCCCCAGCAAGGCACAAGCCTCCGCTTCGCCCCACTCACCCACAGGTCCCCCGTCTCTCGGATGTTGCTGCGGTACCTCTGGCAGTCCTGGAGGACCTGGGGACAAAAGCAGGAGGGATGTGGCGTGGCAGGGCTGGCACCGAGCTGGCCAAATGCCCACGTGCCTGCCCCAAAGCTGGGGAAGGTGACAGATTTGGCCCCTTACGCCACTACAGCGTTGGGAGAAGAACATCAAGCCTTTCAATGGCAACCAGAAGTCGGGGCTTTGCACAAGGACATTTTAAAGACACAAGATAGAATCATAGAAACATAGAATTCTAGGTTGAAAAAGACCTCTAAGATCATCAAGTCCACATAACGGAGTGCTTCACCGCCCCACGGCCTGAGAAAGGCAGCCGGGGCAGGGAACAAAACCTGTCCTCTGCACAGAGGGACATTGGTGAGAGCCAAAAATTCACCCCAGTGGCGATGCGGGAGGGACATTTCGGAGGGGACACTCACGTTGGGGTGGCCGTCGCGCAGAACCTTGTGCAGGACATGGCAGAACTTCCAGCTGAGGATGGCACTGCTGGGCAGGGGCAGCCCGATGGCGTAGGACCAGAAGGTGAATGCACCCTTCTCGTGGTGCGTCCCCAGGATGATCCCTTCCCTGTGGTCAAGGCCAACCGGACACACACAGGAGCAGGGGACAGGCGGGGCTAGGGACTATTGCTCTTCAACTTTCATTAAAAAGGGGACAGGCACCCAGTGTACTGCAGGCACGGAGATGACCAGCACAACACCACACCACAACCCCAGATAATCACAGAATCCCAGCATAGCAGGGGTTGGAAGGGGCCTCTGTGGGTCACCCAGTCCAACCCCCTGCCCAAGCAGGGTCACCCAGAGCAGGCTGCACAGGACCAGGTCCAGGCGGGTCTGGAATATCTCCAGAGAAGGAGACTCCACAACCTCCCTGGGCAGCCTGGGCCAGGGCTCCATCACCCTCAGAGGGAAGAAGTTCTTCCTCATATTCAGACAGAAC